GGGTTCATAGATGGCCTTTCTCTCTCTCTCTCTCTCTCTCTCTCTCTCTCTCTCTCTCTCTCTCTCTCTCTCTCTCTCTCTCTCTCTCTCTCTCTCTCCCTCTCCTCTCTTCCCTGCTCCCATCTTCTCTCTTTCTCAAGTTTTAAACTACATTGTAATTTAGAGAGAGAGAGAGAGAGAGAGAGAGAGAGAGAGAGAGAGAGAGAGAGAGCATGCATGTCTAGATGCAAGTACCACACACAAATGAGGCAGACAGAAGACAACTGGATTCAGGCCCCGACCTCCCTAGCCAGTCAAGCCTGATGCCACACCCCCTCCTACTCTCCGGCATGCGGTCTTTGCCAGTGGCACACAAGTATCTCTCACCATAAAAACTGAACACAGCATGTGACTCTCTTAACCCACTTTCTCCTCTAGCTTACCTCCCAGTTCTCATATTCCCTTTTCAGTAAAATTCCCCCCCCCAACCCCTCCTCATTATTTTGTCTCCTTTTATTCCCCTCATCTACAGAAACACCACTCATAAGACAGCTACAGCAAAGGCGTTGGCCAACCGGCGTGACCAGTGCTTCAGGCAGGCAGTCCCTGCCGTTCAGAATGCTTCCTTCCTGCTTACAGCGTCTGCTGCGTTCTGACTTCCCTCCTAATAATTGTTCTCATTTTTCTTGTCTGGGTTTTCTTCTTCTTCTTCTTCTTCTTCTTCTTCTTCTTCTTCTTCTTCTTCTTCTTCTTCTTCTTCTTCTTCTTTTCCTCCTCCTCCTCCTCCCCTTCTTTTTCCTTCCTTCCTTCCTTTTTTGATGCTGGAAATTGCCTCCAAGAATCCTATGTGGTCCGCACATACTCTCCCACTGAGCTACACTTCCCAAAGCCTCCCGTCCTTTTCCTCTCCAAGTTACTCTAGGATGGAGTGAGTACTCCAAGATTCAGTTCTCAGCAGTTTTCTGGTATTGACCTATACCTACCCTTTCATGTTTCATCCACGCTAATGATTTCCATGTTATCTCTATACCGACGGCTTCTAAATATGTTTCCTTCCATCCTGTGCTGTGCCTCTGTGTTCTAGACTATACCCAACTCAAGACCTCCCTTTAGGTGTCTAATACACATTCCCAACCTGAGCTTATTCTTTCCACACTAATCTCCTCTTAGGGAGTGTCAACTCCAGTCTTCCAGTCTTCAAGCAAGCAAACTCTTGGGATCACCCTTGACTTCATTCTCTCTCGTATTTCAATCCATTAACAAGTCCGGTTGGCTTGCCCCTCAAAACGGAGTCAGAAAACGATCATTTTCATCTTCTCTAGCACCATCACCCCAGTCCAATTCACCCTTTACCTGGCCTCCCTCCCTGCCTCTTCTACATCTGATGAATACCAGACCTGAGATTGAAACCCAGCCATTCTTATTTACACTTTGAAACCTTGTTTTTTTGTTTAGGCTTTTCTGTTTTGTTTGTTTGTTTTGTTGTTGTTTGGGTTTTTTTTTTTTTTTTGAGATAAGGTTCTCTGTGTTGCTCTGGCTGTCTTGGAACTCACTCTGTAGACCAGGCTAGCCTCGAACTCAAGGTGTGCGCCAACACCTCCCGGCTTGTTTCACCTTTCAGTCCCTCAGCTCCACTTTGGTCACTGCAGCTGTAGACATCTCCCCTATTCTTTTTACTCTTTCTTAGATGACATAAAGTCATCTTTTCCAGATAGGTATGATCAAGTGACCAAGCCCTGACCAATGACATAGGGGTAGTTGCCGCTGGAGACCTCTTAGAAGAGGGGCATGCAGTTGGTCTATAGCCTTCTGTCTGTACTTTTCTACCCTCCTTCCCGCTACATGGACAAAGGACTTTGTGGCTGGGTTCCAGCAGCGTAGTTTTTCATCCTGAAGTAACCTTGAGATTTGAAGCCACTGTTAGCATAGAAAGTGGGAGGGTAGATGCAGCCTGAGTGTCTGATGACTGTGGAGCCTCACACAAACTCTGGCCTGCCTTCGTTCCATCTAAAATTGTGGACACGAGAGTCTTCGATTAGTAACATAACTTGTATTGAATAGGAAATATGGGATAAAGTCTGGTGGATCAACCCTACAGCTACCCAGGTCCAGACCCAGGGTTATGTGTAGCCTGCACCATCATCCACCCCCACCTTTGACCTGCTGTGGGATAATGCTCTTGCACACTATAAAGATTTGTCACTCTTATTGGTTCAATAAAATGCTGATTGGCCAGTAGCCAGGCAGGAAGTGTGGGTGGGTTGACCAGACTAGGAGAATTCTGGGAAGAGGAAAGGCTGAGACAGAGTTGCCAGCCAGACATATAGGAAGTAAGATGAGAATGTTGGACTGAGAAAAGGTAACAAGCCATGTGACTAAACATAGACAAGAATTATGGGTTAATTCAAGCATAAGAGCTAGTTAGCTATAAGCCTGAGCAATAGCCAAACAGTTTATAATTAATATAAGCCTCTGTGTGTTAGTTTGGGACTGAACAGCTGCGGGACCGGGCAGGACAGAAACTTCTGTCTACAATGATCTGCTGGAGTACATGAAGGAATCTGATCTGCAGACCCAAAGCTGCAGGATCTCCACAACACAGGACGCCAGCGGGGTGTCCAGGAGGAGTCCTAGTGAGGGCCCAGCATCACGTGTTGTGGAGACCAGGGGCTTCAAACCACACCCGTGACTCTTGGCAATGAACACTTGCAAGTGGAGATGTATGGACAAAGGGGTTCACAGTGCGACTTGTTGGGTCACACTGCAGCGTCCATGACGAGATTTTAATTTTTTCCTTTTTTTTTTATTTTCCTCATTTTATTCTCTTGAATTTTGTTTTATTGTGGGGGTGCAGGGACAGAGGGCAAATGTGAAGGGATGGGGAATGAATGGGATCAAGGTACATGATGTGAAAAATACATAGAATAAATAAATTTTACTAAAAAAGAAGAAAATAAGGGATAAAGTAATGAGACTGAACTGAAGGTAAACATCATTGTGTTAAGGTTCTGAGGATGAAAACACTGTTACCATGCTCCATTTACTGAGTTCCATTTACTGAGACATCATCATCACCTTCCTCGTCATCAGACAAGTTTCTGTGACACACAAACTTCAGATCTCTACGAAGACTTAGTGAGGGGCTGGAGAGATGGCTCAGGGGTTAAGAGCAATGGCTCCTCTTCCAAAGGATCAGGTTCAATTCTCAGCACCCACACGGAAGCTCACAATTGTCTGTGACCCTAATTTGCAGGGGATCTGGCATCAACAGCCATACATGCAGGCCAAACCCCAATGCACATAAAACATAATCTTAAAAAAAAAAAAAGAAATGGTCAAAGACTTAGTGAACCATTACCAACTCTGTTACAAGAGAAAGAGAATGAGAAGATATTCTGAGGAATCAGAATTTGGCTAATACGATGTTGACTTCAAAGTAAATGATGTTTGGTTTCAATTTTCCTATAATTGGATTTTAAGGCTTATTTTTTTTTTAGTTATATGTATGCATGTGCACAGAGTGCAGGTGCTCACAGAAGCCAGAAGATGGTACTGGTTCCCTTGGAGCTGGAAACAGAGGCTGCCGTGAGCTGCCCAATATAGAATTGAACTTAAGGGTTCTCTTTGACAGAGATACATACTCTTAGCTGCTGAGCCATTTCTCAGTCCTCAAATACAGTCTTAAACCTTAAATTTCACTACCACCTCTGAGCTATTGTAAACCTGGTTATGAAGAGAGGATAGTTATGGGTATGGAAAGTTAGTTGCAAGGTATTTGTCTTGTGAAATTCAGACCAGGACATGTGGACACGGCTTACCTCTAAGATGACTTCTGATTGGTGGAAAGAGCATGTTCCTTCAAGTGCTGCCACTAACATTAGTTTTAAAAATATATGTTTTCCGGGTAGTGTCAGCATACACCTTTAATCCCATCACTCTGAAGGCAGAGGCAGGTACATCTCTGTGAGGCCAGCCTGGTCTACAGAGAGAGTTCCAGGACAGCCAGTGCTACACACAAGAAAAGAAAAGAAAAGAAAAGAACATCTCTCTCTCTCTCTCTCTCTCTCTCTCTCTCTCTCTCTCTCTCTCTCTCTCTCAAAAATATATGTTTTTAAAATAACCAAATGAATGGAAACACGTGAACTATGAAGCAAAGGCTGAGGGGCCCCCAGCTGGATCAGGCCCTCTGAATAGGTGAGACAGTTGATTGGCTTGATCGGTTTGGGAGGCAACTAGGCAATGGGACCGAGTTCTGTGCTCATTGCATGAATTGGTTGTTGGAAACCTGGAGCTTATGCAGGGACACTTGGCTCAGTCTGGGAGGAGGGGACTGGACCTGCCTGGACTGAGTCTACCAGGTTGATCGCAGTTCTGGGGGAGGCTTTGCCCTGGAGGAGGGGGGGAGGGGGGAGAACAGGGTAATTTGTGGCTGATATGTAGAACTGAATGGTATTGTAAAATAAAATAAAAGGGAAAAAAAAAGAAAATAATGATTAAGAGATAATGATTCAACCGTAAATATCCAATGTAGAAAATGTGGAAATTCTGAAAAAGAAATCAGAGGTGACCCTGTAGTCCCAGGGCCAGGTCTCTAAAATATATATATGTTTTTATTAATTATTTAAGAATTTCATGCAAGGTATATTGAGCATATTCACCCTAACTTCTTAACTACTCCCAAGTCTCCCCATCTCTATACCCCCCAAATTTCATGTCCTTGTATGTGTGTGTATGTGTTTATTTATTTAATAATCCATCAAATGAAGTATGTGCTGTTCGTATGTTCTTCTGGGTGGGGGCCATCCACTGGAGTGTCACACTTGTTTTTGGAAAGTCATTTACACTCAGAGTTTATTGACAGAATGGGAATACTGTGGAAAGTGGGCATTAGAGCTGTTGAAATGAAAGAAAGAGGAATGAGGGACAGGCTTAGTTCGAATTTTACAAACGACTTAGCCTTTTGAAATTCTTTTACTGACTGCAAAGGTTACCATCAACACACCACACTTCCTTCGAGAGCCTTTGGATGCTTGTTTTTTAATTGTTTTAGGATGTGACCAACTTTTGTGGAGTTGAGCTAGTTGGCTTCATTATTCTCCTGCAACATTTCCTCTGCACTCGTTGATTTCCATGGCTACATGATGATTGCTTCCTGAGAAACAAAGGAACACATGTGTTCAGAAGTAAAAAGGAAGCATCCAGATCACCTATTGAACTGCAGCCCTGTAGAAGCCAGTATAAGTGGGGAGCTGTCTTTCTATCATCCTGTGTTTGGAACAAAGGAATTTACCTCAGTCATTCTCTCAAGCTTTACTCTGCAATTATTGCCCTCGTAAGGGGCCAGATTGTGTCAGGGACTGTAGACCAAGCTTACTCCCCAAAGTTCTGTCAGACAGGCTGTTTGCTACAGTGGCCAATCCAGAGAAATAAATAGTAGGTAATAGGAAATTTGAAGAGATTTTGGGGGAGTGAAACCTAGTGTGGTGAGGCATGTCTGTAATCCCTGCATGCACAGGGCTGAAGCAAAAGGATCATATTCAAAACCAACCTGAGCTACAGTGAGACCTATCAAAAAAAAAAAAAAAAAATCAACCAGACAACCAACCAACTGACCAACAGACACAAGAATGCAGGAAGAAGAAACAGCTCGCCACTTAAACTGATTCTATTTTACTTCATTAAATCATTAATGATATCAACAAACATCCACAAAGACTTCCATGTATGAGGTCCTGAATGAAATGCTTTGAGAGAACAAAGGTGAAAACACTTATAGATGAAAAATTCAGCTGGGCACGGTGATGCTCACCTCTAATCCCAGCACTCGGGAGGCGGAGTCTGGTGGATCTCTGTGAGTTCGAGGCCAGTCTGGTCTACAGAGTGAGTTCTTGGACAGCCAGGGTTACACGGAGAAACTTTGTCTTGAAAAATCAAAACAACAAACAAAAACGGAAGGAAAAAAGAAAAACTTTTTAGTTTAGTATTCCATATACAGCATCTGAATCTTGGCTAAATCTTTCCCATACAATTTGGAACCTATAGTGGCTTTGAGGTGAGTGCAGGGCTGTGCATGTTGAACTTGAACATAGAAATTCATTGAATAAGCAGACATCTAGAAACCCATCCCAAATAACAGTAGTAACATCTACTGTTGTGAAATAATCTTTTTGTACACTATAAAGATGTGTTTTTGCCAAGGTGCCTTCTGATAAAGAGCTGAATGGCCAATAGCTAGGCAAGAAGAGGTTAGGTTGGGACTTCTGGGCAGAGAGAGAGGAAGAGGAGACACCAGAGGACACAGAGAGGAAATAAGAGGTGCAAGATGAAGAGAGGTAAAAAGCCACAAGGCAAAAAACATAGATCAGAGCTTGGGAGAGACCTCTTGAAGAACAAGAGTTTAGTGAGAATGTCCATGTTGGGGAGATTATCTTTAACAAGTGTGTGTTCAGTGCATGGAGAGGGCTTTGCAAACTGAGGAAAGTTAATGAGCCCAGCTTTAGACCTCTCTGGAGGGGTGGGGTATAATAATGGAAATATTATATAGTTTTTTTAGCAGTGGAGTTGGAGGCGTAAGCGAGAAGTGCAAAGGGAAATTAGACTTAGGGCTTGTACACAGGGAACATGAACACACAGGAATCTAGAAGAAGGAGAAAAGAAAATTCAAGAAGGAATTTTTAAATTCTTAGGAAAACAACTGCATTTACAAAACAAGCTAACCAGAAGTAACCCAGGAAGAAAACTAAAGAGAAGCTAGGGAGCTGTGATGAAAGCCACATGAGAATGGCAGCCTTCTTCTGCCATAGGATGGTCCTTAAGCGGAGATGAGAGAACGCCAAAGCAGCCCGGGAGACACCAAAGGGACTGCTAACCGGATCCTTTTTCTACCGATTCCCCCGACCCTCTGAATCTGTGGCTCTCTTTCTAATGTTGATCCTATCCTTTGTTCCCAAGAATGAACTCCAGAAGTCTGGCAGAGCAAATGGGTGATTACCTCGGGACTGCATAATGAAAGCTCCCAAGAGTCAGGGGAGAAGGGTCTCCCCGTGCTCATGCCTTTGCAATGGTGCCTGGGTTAGCTTTGGCCAGGGAAGAGTCTGTTTGCATTGGTCAGCAATAACCATAGAGACTCATCGCGCTCAAAGTACAGAGAAGAAATGACCGTTGAGTGCCCAGCCATAAAGCAGACATCTATATCACCTCCTCCAAGGCTCAGGGGAGTCTATGGAAGAGAAAGTGGAAAGAACACAAGAGCCAGAGGAAGTGTAGGGGCAGAAAGAGTTGTGAGACTGAATTCTGGGTATTGCTGTGGAATATTAGTTGAAGATGTATGACATTAGTTTACGCTGTGGAAATTTGTTTAATGATGCAAAGATGTGTTGCATTCTTTCATAATGCATTTGTTTAACTCCGTGAAGCTGTGTTAACTGTCTAAAACACTTGATTGGTCTAATAAAGAGCTGAATGGCCAATAGCTAGGCAGAAGGGGGCTGGCAGGCAGAGAGAATAAATAGAAGGAGAAAAAGAGAAGAAGGAGGAGAAAAAGAGGAGAGGAGGACACTAAGGGCCAGCCACCCAACCACACAGCCAGCAATAGAGTAAGAAGTAAACGAAGACATATAGAAAAAGAAAGGTAAAAGTCCAGAGGCAAAAGGTAGAAGGGATAATTAAAGTTACGAAAAGCTGGCTAGAAATAAGCCAAGCTAAGGCGGGGCATTCATAAACAAAAATAAGTCTCCGTGTATTGAGTGGGGGGCCCCCAAAAGAATAAAAAGAGTAAAAGACAAAACAAAACAGACAACAGGGTGTGACATGTATGTCACTCTCTTGAACTCACAGCCCCTGAGATCACTGGCACAAGCTCTCCACAATATTGGACCCATCAACATTCTGGCATGGAGGGAGAGGCTCCTGGGGCACCCCCCACCTACTGAGGATTTCTATTCAGTTAATGGTCGACTGGGGAGAGACCTTTTCTTAAGTGGGATAGCTACTGGTAAGGGGTCTATGCAAATCCTTATCCAGGCTTTTATAAATAACCCTAATGAAACTGACTGGGAGTGCACACACACACACACACACACAAAAAAAAAAATAGAAGGGGCCAGAGCTAATTGAGAAGAAAGAGATTAGTGAGTGTGGGAAGGCAGACAATAGTGGGTAAGGGAGGGATGAACACAGTCAAGATAGGTTATACACATGTATGAAGATACAATGAAACCCATCACTATTCACAATTACTCTATGGTAATAAAAGCAGTTTTTCAAAGGATGGTTCCAAGTTGTAGCCATCCAATAAGCCAGGGAAGCAGTGTCCTAAACAGTGGATATGAGCAGAGCATCAGGCAGATCTGTGTTCAGATTCTGCCTTGGGCGTTTAGAGATGGATCCTTCCAGCTGGTGTGAGTGTGCGCAGCCCTGATGCTGACTGCAGCCAGAGCTCAGCCCTCTCAGTCAAGCTGAAACAATGGAGAACGTTCTCTGCTGACCTCTGGGCTTCTCAAGGGTTTGGAACATAGTGGAGTTTTCGATTACTTTTTTACTTTTTGTTAATTGTGACAGAGTCTTGTTGTGTAGTCCAGGCTACTCTTAAACTTGTGGTGATCCTCCTGCCTCGGCCCTTGGAATGCTGGGAATATAGGCATGTGCTACTATACCTCTAAAGTCTTAAGTATGTAGTTTTATTTTGAAAGATGAATGATTAAATTTACAAACCAGAGAACAGCACACAGGAAATAATTTTATAAGCACCTGAAACTTGTAGTCTCCTGATGTTTTTATGGGTCACTGAGTTTTTCAGAACTCTGACCATTGGGCTTTAAGGATACATCCATGGGTACTCATTTGAGAAAAAACAAAAACAAAGAAAACCCCAAAGGAATAATTCTGCTCACCAGAACAAAAATAAAAATGCTCCTTGGAACTGGGAGATGGGTCAGTCAGTAAAGCGCTTGCCAAGCAAGCATGAGAACCCGAGTTCGGATCCCCTGCACCCATGTAAACGCCGGACTCAGAGATGTGCCTCTGAAACCCCAGCTCTGGGGATGTGCGTGCGTGCGTGCGTGCGGAGATGGGAGGATCCCTGGAGCTCATTGATCAGCCAGTCTAGCCGAATCGATGAACTCCAGGTTCAGTGAGAGCTTTGTCTAACAGCTAAGGTGGAGGGCAGGTGAGATGTCTCCCCAGGCAAGCCTGCCTGCTGCTGCTGCTAGGCCTCAACACTTGAGTTTGATTCTGGCAACCCACGTGGTCGAAGGAAAGAACTTTTTCCTGAGAGTTTTGTCCTTTCACACACACACACACACACACACACACACACACACACACACACACACACACACAGAGAGAGAGAGAGAGAGAGAGAGAGAGAGCTCTTTCGATAAGGCTATCTTCAATGGTACATAGTGTTCACTCACTAAGCGATGGCGTGGACTGACTAACACTTTTATGGGGTATTGCTTTTCCTGGTGCTGATCTAAAGATTGTAGTGTCATTAGTTTGCTGAATTTCTCAACAGACTTATGGGACAGGGGCTTGTCTGGTATGTAGAAAAAGAAACCCCAGGCACAGAGATATATACCTAAGTCCACATAGCCAATAAGTAGCAGAAGCAGGATTCGAACCCAGGCACTTCAACACCAAAGGCTCTAATATAGAACAGTCACAATACACAGACACTCTTGTTTGTGTGTGTTTGTACTCACACGTGCATGCATATGTCTCTCTCTCTCTCTCTCTCTCTCTCTCTCTCTCTCTCTCTCTCTCTCTCTCTCTCTGTGTGTGTGTGTGTGTGTGTAGCCCAGACTGGCCTCAAACTTTCAATTCCCCACCTCAGCCTCTTGGATGCTGGAATTACAGATGTGTGTCAGCATGCCCCACTGAGTAGTCTACACTGAGGTGGGCACCCGATATTTTGCTCAGTGCCTAGTAGGAAACCTGCATTGTGCCTGTGAAATGAGGCTTTCTCATCTAGGGCAGGTTATGGAAGCTGTGTTTGTACTCAATTGGACAACAAGCTTGATACTTAGTTTTGCTAGTAGAGCTCATAACCACCCAGGGATCAGATTCACACTCCACTTCCTCAGCCCAGGGACAGGGAGCTCCTCACCCTTGTCACAACCCTCGTTCCTGAGCTGGGAGAGCTCTGCTTGTAGC